GTATGACAGCCTCAATAGTAGCCATGATTGTGTCTTGGGTGGCTGCTTGTTCCAATAGTAAAGGATTCAGTGTTGAGCTCTGACCTCTTTTGCTGGGAAGGTCAATGCATTTTTCCAGAACGGGCATTTGGTCTCTGGAGTCTTCGTCGAACGAGAGAGGTTGCTTCCGGGGACGCCCTCTCCTCTTCTTGATGAAGTTATTGCCTGTCTTTGATTGTCTCTGTAGCCGCTTGGCTTTCAGGATTTTGTTCACGTGATCCAGGTTCTTCTTCGTGGACAAGATCTTGGTATAGTTGCACATCTTGCGCACCTCACACTGGATTGCTTCAATTTCACGGCGCTTGAACCTTTTCTTCAATGGTGGGCTGGCTGTTGGGAGACAAGGGCAGAAATAGGGATGGATGAGACAAAAGTGAATGGAAGAAACACTTCTCCCACTTTCAGTACCACCAAGACTAGCTGCTTTTAAGTATAGTAGGTTGAATATAACTATTAAAACTGGAGAAGCCATGGCCATTAGACAGGACTCTGCATAGAAAAGCAATTAAAAAAAATGAAGATTATTTACTACAGTCACAGAAGAATTGCTGTTACCTCCTTTTTTACTAGCCTAGATGAAAACACTTACAACTTTGACTATTAAATAGTCCTCAGAGAACGCTCTGCAGCTCTCTCCTCGTCTAAAGCAAGAGAGCTTTTCTGCTGCAGCGTTTTATTATGGTTTTCCTTCAACCTCACTTGCTTGTTTCTAAACCTCTGGTAGGAGGGAATAAAGGGCTGCTTAATATAGGTGTCATATTGGCTTACCAGACCATCTATTAAACCTTGTATACCCCTAATATAGACTCTGGACATGCTTCCTTGGTCTTTAGTACCCAACATGGACATCATTGAGTATAAAAAGGCTTTGTTACTGAAATGAGTGGACCCAGGCAAGCTCCGTGGCTCACCTCACCTGTGCTAAATTCATTGCCCCTGCTTGGGCTTCTTGAATGTCATCTCTGCAGATACTAGCTAAAACTACTCACTCATATAATCATCTTTAATGACCTCCAAAGAAAGCTTACTCCCAATTCAGATCACTGTAGTCGAGATCTGAATGAAGTCCAAGGCAGTTAAGTCTTCTGCCAAGGTCATGTTGTGAGTCATTGTCAGAGCTGGAAAGAGAACCCAACATTTCTTGGTTCCTGGTGCTTTGCTTAGGACACAAGACCTTGCTTGTTTTTCTTAAATTGTTTAATTGTTCTTTACTGAACGTGGCATCTGTTCAGAGCTCAGATTCTGCACATGGATTAGAAATAACTACCTCTCTGTGAGAGTGACAGACTGCATTAATTCTGCAATTGCAATAACTGGTGCTCCCTTTCACTCCTAACATATCCATTCTGTGCTGCTGGAAAAGAAATGATGGAGTTCAGAATTTCTTTTCAGTAAAGAATAAAACATCCCACTAAATTAACCTCAGCCCACATCTACTTGCAAACTTAATTTACACTTGACTGTCAAGCAGGCATTTGGGTTTGAAATCCTTGAAATTTCTGGAGCAGCCAGGATTTTGAGAAAGGTTCATTTGAGGGTTATCACTCTCTTCATGGCTAACAGCACAATCTTCTAGCAGCGGTTTAAAATAAAGTTGCTATTGTAGCATTTTCTGTAGATAACCAGGAGCCATCAAGTGGCAGAATCTCTCCTTGCTCACAGTGGGATACGACAGTTTCAGCATACAAACCTCCTTCACTGTCCTCCCCTTTTGGAGAACATAAATTATTGACTCTTATACCATCATGTTGCTTGGATTCAGCAAAGAGCTTGTGTAAACAAACCCAAGTTACAATGCAAGAAGTAGGAGTGAGTCATAAACAAAACACAGACATATGCTCTCTTATAAAGACCTGGATGGCCAACTTCCCAAAGTCTGTTTTTCATTAATTACAAAGCAAAATATGTTTTCCATATGTAACCCACTCCCCCCACCCAAAAGGAAAATAAAAACCCATTTACAGTTTGTGATTAACAGAGGACAAAAGAGAAGAGGAATGCAGTCATTTTGGTACCAAAGAAAAAGAGAAAGGAAATGAAATATTGAAATTGCTAGGGAGAATATAATTAGTTGCACAAAATTCCTCTCAAGTAGGTCATCCCTAAAAAGTGCAGATTTAAGAGCCCTAAGGGCAAATGGCATCGAGTGAGCTATTTCTGTCGTCTGATCAAAAAGGTTAGATCTCTGTCACACAAAACAATTACTCTCATCCGGCCTCACTGGTGATTGACATACATTTTCCCAATATTTCCACCTCTAAGCAATTAACTCCTTTGAGTCCTACCTCCCCCCACTCTTCCCCAATCCTAAGAGTGGCTGTGGGTCTTGATTAAGAAATCAATTGATTAAGAAATCAATTATTTTTCACACACTTTATATTTGTTGTCCATATTTTGCATTTCATGGCTACATTTAGGGTACATTTTCCAGATTTTCTTTGCAAAGTCCACATGTTCAAGATGTATTTTTTTTTTTTCAGAAAACAAAGTTGAAATTTTTTGGCTCGTGGTGGAAATCTGACATGTGAGAATTTCAGCAAAAATAAAACACAAAAGGTCCATGGTGAAATCAGGAGATTTGGCATTAATCTTGTCTTTCATCACAAACAAAATAAGCCAAAGGACAGGAAATGAATCTGAAAAGAAAAATTAGCCAACTATTTGCAAAGATTTTATGTCCTTACAAAGATCTATCAATATCTGCCATTTCTGCAGCTCGGTGTTAACATCCATCAATAGAGATCTAGTCAGTATGGGCAGTAGAAGGTGACTTGTTTTTCTAAAGTAGGAGCCTTTTGAGATGACCATGGAAACTCTTCTGAGACCCAGAGACTGGACAAGAAGGATGCATGTCTCCTATAAGGCCTCTGTCATATCAGCCAACCCCAATGGGTGTCTTAGACACCCAAATTTTCCAGGACATCCAGGCTTAGAAAACTGAATGGAGCCCAACAGCAGGTAGACAGTGACTGTGTTGAGCCAACATAGTTGTCCACTTTCTGCTGAACAGCCCAGTTCACCAAGACGAACCAATAGGAAGACAGTTATGTGTACATGCCTACAATTAGTTGTAAATCTTTGAGCTTAATACCACTACCAGTGTCTTCTGTCATGATATTTAGATACTCTGACTTCTTTTAATGGAGCAAGAACACATCCCCTTCCCCTTTGGACCGAAACTTACTTTCTCATTTAACAAGAAGTTGTTCTGTGCTGGTTTACTGCGCTATTTTTTCTTCTGTAAATGTTCTGGGCTGTATATTACTTTTTCAGGAAGCTTGTTAGAAACTACTAATAATGTTTTTGCCTTTCTACCAGCTAAGCCTCTGAACCCCCAAGCTTTAGAAAGTATTTGAGCTGTGTTACATATTCTGTCAATGGTCATAATATATGTCTTGAAAAATTAATATCCTTTTAAATCAAGCTTTTTTGAAGGACATATTTGGAAAGCCAGTATTATTTTGCATTATAGTCAGGGACATCTGATTCTACATTTGGAGTGGAGAGACTGTGTGGAGTCTGATGCGTCTGCAGGGGGAAGATTTGATGAGGTGTGCATATGACGAAATAGCAGGGAGATCTGCCAAAACAAACCACTATTGAAGTGAGAGCCATTAGGTGTTATCAACTCATCCAGAAGCTCTTGGTGAGCAATCTTTGATATAAAATATTCTGCTGTACTGCCATGTGATATACTGCTCAGCTTAAAAACAAACCTAAGTACTAATCTTTTCCATTTTATCCAGGCAGATCCTGCCCAGCCCTGGGCCCTACTTTGTCTTCATTGCTTTTAGGCTTTCTTGTTCTCTTCCTGTGCCTAGTTTAACTTTTGCACATGGGAGCCTTGACTTGGGAGGAAGAATTTTGTTTTGGTGGAAGTCATCTAAAAAGGACTAAAGAGGAGAGGGGGAATAGTAACACCCCATCTGTGCACAGGTAGATGAAGAGGAATATGATCCTAAAGAGATAAAACAAGAAACAGCCTCCCTATACTGGGGATGCATGGGGGTACCATGTTGCCTGGTGTGGAAGAATTGTTTGAATGAAGTGGGAAGTGAGAGAAGAACTAGGGCCTAACAGAAGTTTTGGCATTACAAAAGCTTGCTTGGGGTGATACACAGTTGCCACTTCCAGGATGGCTGGTGTGCACGGACTCAGCTCCTCCACAGTTCCCTAGGCAGCACAATCTGCCCTCCTCACAGCTGCAAAGGGGAGTAACAGAGAATGGAGCGTAGTGAAGACACCGCGGCCAAACTGTTGCACTCCCTGTGCTAGGCCGCTGATAAACCGCACAATAGCTGTCCAGTGGGAGATATACGATAATATGTCCGGTGCTGAGCCAGCAAGGGTGGCAAATCGCTCCTTTCGGATGAACTTTTCCTGAACTTTGCTCATTATAAGCTCATTATAATGCCAAAACACACCTCCATCCTAAAAGTTACTCGCCTCCGAGGTACGACCACCCCTCACCAAGCATGCGCTCTAGATTTTCGATTGACTGTACCTTTAAATGAAAGCGAGAAACTTTTTCACCAATCAATAACAATATTAAGTATAACTCTAGTCACTCAAGCTCCACCTGAATGTAAAGAAAAGTATAAAAGGTGAACTAAGGATGAAAAGGTGGGGGGAAGAATCCATCGTAACTTCCCTCCCCTCCCCTCAGGTCAGGATGCTGCCTGAGGAGAGTCCTCGAGACTGAGAGCCCTCTCCCATCTTCTGGGGTGAGTGATGATTGCACATTTGTACATCAGAGGTAGCTAAAAACCCCACGCTCTAGTAGAGAATTTCCTGTACTGACACCTGAAACCTGCTTTGTAAATGTTGCATTTGAATAAATCATGCTGTTTGTGAACTCAACTACTTGTTTGGAGGAAGGACATCAGACCTACAGTTGACAGACTGTTCATGAATCCAATACTGCCAGAGTCGAGCTTATAGTTGATCACACTATTTGGGAACTCGATTCGCTCCTAGGAAGGTGATAGGACCTATGGTCCACAGACATATTTGTGAATCCGATACTGATTTGATATCTCCTTCCCCCACCACCACTACCACTACAGCTTTCAAGCTGCAACATTTCACACCTGGGCACAGTTATCTCCCTATGCTTCCCCAGCCTGTAGTGCCTTGCACTATCTCCACAAAAGCCTGAGGCTATTTGGTGCAGTTGTGAATGGAGTTTGCAACTACCTGAAGCATCACAGGCTCAATAAGAGCTCCTCTGAAACCTTGCTTGCTCTGTGAGCTTTCCCAACCATGGACATCTACCTACTTGCAGTGATTAGGCCATTTCCTCTCAGTGCAGCCTCATATAGAGACAGCTTAGATTTGACAATGAGGTGTGGGAAGAGACACCTTCTCATCTTCCCACCACAGGACCTGCTTGGAGACTTGGAAGGACAGAGAGAAGGAAGCCATAGCCTCCTGAAAATACAAGAAATTAAAAAAAAAAAAAAAAAAACAAAAACAGTAAGAGCTCAACAAAAGTAGGAACTCAACTGTCAGCAAAAGACCGGCAAGAGAAAAATGCCTCCTGATTTTCCTCTTCCTCCACACAGAGGAGCCTTTTTGGAGATCTTTCTCTAAGTTCCCTAGAAAGCACTGGGAGAGTCTGGCCTCCCAGAATACCAGTAATTCAGCTAAGCCCCGTCAGATCTGGGCTGCTATCTGCAAGCAGGTGTGTGAGGCTTGCCCTGGGCTATTAGAGGCATGAACACTGCAGTACCTTCTGCAAATGCTGCATCTCGAATGCAGGCTGTGGAAACAAGATGTAAAACCACGCTCTGGTGCTTTACTCTGCTGCTTTCTCTCCAGCCCAGCCTTGGCACTTCCCCTCCATCCTTTCCTACCTCTGTATGCACAACCAACCTCACCTCACCGTCCCAAGTGAGTTGCAAGTATTGCAAACAAACCAGCAAGAGCCACCTTAGAATACAGCTTTGCACGATTAAAATAAGGCACATGAAGGACTGGAGTCCTGTGTTTCAGCCTCTCCTGAATGACCTACTGCAGCTCAGTCATGTTAAAAGAGGTGGCAAGCCCAGGTAGATCAGACTGCTTGGAGGTTCTCCCTTAGTCCCCTCATTTTATTTTTTGGTATATCCATAGCAGTAGACATCAATCTTCCTGCCTGTCATTCTAGATCCTTTCGGAGGTACCTGAGGCCACTCGCCAGAGCACTGTACAGAGAAGAGCGTTTGCTCAACAGCTGGGCTCAGTTTGTTGACTTGGTTTGGACAGAGACATTTTCAAAGAGCTCCCCATTAATTACAGGAAACCCGTAGCACTGTCCTGTTTTTCCATTAACACAGTTTTCTCTCAGTTTTCACTAAATTATTTCCACATCTGGGCTATAGATAGAGCAACAATTTAATTAGACTTCTGAAAATGGAAAGAATGAACTATGCAGTCAGGCATAGACTTTCATCTTGAAACCCATCGTAAAAAAAATGTGTGCTTTCATTCTCTGCCACATTAAAAATCTTAGCCCTTAGTTTATATATAGGAAGGTATTAAGGGGTAAACTGAGATTCCTATTTTTTTCTTGTATAAAAAATTATCTTTATAGAAGCCACTCTACAGCATGGATTTCTTTCTTTCACTAGTCAGGAAACTAGAGGAAACTCAAATGGAGTACACGGCAAGCACATTTCAGTTGCATAATTATATATGTGATAGTATAATTGAGTGATATGAGTAAATTTTTGGAGAATGCAGAAACAGAGGTTTGACAAGACCAAGAAACTGCTAATGGATCTCGTATGTAGGGTGATGTACTGAGGGTTCCCCATTCATTGGAAATTAAGACACAATGCAAGATTAATTTCTTCATCCGTGCTGAGAAAAGGCATGACAATGACTGAATGACTTGGCTCAATTTCTGACTGTATAAAGCTATCAGCTCTCTGATCTGATTCAAAATAGAAGCACAAAATACGAGTTGATTGAAAAAAAATGCTACTCTGGCTTATTTATTCCAATATATTTTAAATCACAGTTCATTGCACCAGACAATTTCGCATTTGCAAGACAGAATATTATGCTAAAATCACTGAAGTATGCAAAAAGAAATCTCTGCTGCTCTTTAGATATTCACTGTGTATTTGGCATGTTCATACTAAAGAGATAGAGACATTCAAAGAATCCCTGCTAGACCATAAGGCTTATGTACTTATTATTGCACAAATGGTAGTATGAGAATGAAATGGATTTGATATGTCAAGATATCATTACAATAAGAAAATATTAGAAAAATTACAGACTATCACATCAGATGATACACACATTTGCATACTCAGACACGACTACTCAAATCAGGAAGAGCCATGCAAGCATCCATGGAGTCAAGAAGATGGAGAATAAATAGAGGAGATGGAATAAAACAACATTACCTGCTTTGGATGTTGCTGATGATGAAGGTAGGAGAGATAATACTGGGCTCGGCATTGCAACACTGTCAACAGCTGCTGGTTTCCTTCTGGTCATCATGTTACAGACAGAACCTTCCATTTTACTATGAAGTGAAGCCTGGTCTGCTTTTAAGTAGGGACCTGCAATTCCTGGGGAAGGAAACAAAATTTGGATGAACACTGGTAAAGTAACCTGAGAATATCTGCAAAAGGATAACCAGTTCCAGTCTTTGTTGTACCAATATAATTCCATGTTTCCTAGTATATGTGCTTGGAATATGGTCTTAATACTAGCAAGGATCATGATTTTTGTTTGCTTTTAGTAATTTTGCTTCAGGATGTACCACCACTGATCTCTAAAAATACTGGTAAACCAACACAGTAATTCCGCATGACTGCTTTTTCTTCTCAAAGCACACACATACACACACACACACACACGTGTATAAAGTCAGGCCTGCTTCATATCTCTATTCAGTGGGATTGTCTATTTAAAGCAAACACACACACACGTGTATAAAGACAGGCCTGCTTCATATCTCTATTCAGTGAGACTGTCTATTTATTGTTCCCTGGGTGGTGTATTCTCCATACACTTACATACTTCTGCTCTACAATCACTTGGCTCAGTGGGTGTTTTGTCTGAGTAAGGAGCAGGCATCAGAAACAGCCTCAGCATGTAATTCCCTATCTAAAGGACATTATGCTTTCACTTGTTTTTTAGGAATCCCCTTTCTAATGAAAATTGACCTTGCAAGTCATCAAAGAGGTGGGAGAATATAAAAAAAGAAGAAAAAAAAAAGGTTTGTCATACATTTTTCTACCCACAGGTTCTGATGGAATAAGCATTATTCTTGCATGGATTACAGCATGGAACAAGCAAAAATGGTAGAAATTCTCATGTGATCTCAAAGTGATCACATTTCAGAAAAATAATAGTTATACACGAAGGGCTGGTAGATTCCTCCCTTGGTGATGTTTCACAAACCTTGTTATGATTTGAATCCATTTTGTTTGCTTGTAAATGTGGCAAGTTTCAACTGCTTGGGTTGAAGCTTGGTAACTATTAGCTAGCTGCATGTGTCTGCTATATCTGAATGTGCAACCAGTCATTCATATAAATATATATATATATACATGTATATACACACACATATATATTTATACACATGTATATATTTATTGTGTATGTGTATACATATTGCATGTACATATGTAAGTATATGAATTTACCGAGAGGAAAGACAGCCAAAATGACTCAGTCATTTTTTAAAATAAAGCTATTTTTTTCCCCTATTTTAGATAATGCATCTTTATATAATGCCAGTAGCCTCAACTCTGCAGAGTCCCTCCAGCAGATACTGGGATTGTTGAAGTCTCCCATGAGAACTTGAAAGTAAGGCTTCTTCTGCTTGTCTGAAAAAGGCCTCATCTACTTCTTCCTCATCAGGTGGTCAATAGCAGACACCAGGCATGTTGAACATATTGGTCCACCTACTAATCCTGACCTATAAGTTCTCAAAAAGCTCCTCACCTGTACCTTGGCAGAGTTCCATGCATTCTAGTTGCTCTGTCACATAAAGGGCAACTGTCCCTCCTCTCCTATCCTAACTAAAGCCTTTATACATCCATCACAGCATTCATAGACCTATACTTCTCTTGTTTGCTCTCCTCTCTCTCTGAGCCACTTCAAAGTGGCAGCCAGTTGTGATGAAAAAGATGAGAGCTTCCCCGTAATGCTATCCTAGATGTTCTTCCTTATTTGTGTGCATATGCTGGAAGTGGACCTCTTTCAGCTCTGTTTTGATAATTAGGTGGTCTCTCCTGCCCACATCATCCTGCACCTTTTGATTGCCAATCTGGTCCACCACTTGCTCACTTGACTGTGGGCCATCATTCCCCTACTCTGCTGTTGCTACTTTAAAACTCTCCTCACCAGGTTGGCCAACATGTTAATAAAGGTGCTTTTGCCCCACATAGTCAGGTAGATCCTGTCTCTTCTTAGCAGTCTTCAGACCTCAAAGAGGGTCCTGTCATCATAAAAAACAAATTCTTCTTGCCAACATCAGCTGTGCAACCAATTATTGACCTACAGGATCCATCCACTCCTCCCCAGGTCATTCCCCCTCACTGGCAGGATTGAGAAGACTACCTGGGCTCTGACGCCCTTGGCCACTGCCTTCAGAACCATGTAGTCATGTGTGATACGCTCCAGGTCTCCTCTGGAAGGTCTCCCTGGTCAACAGGAATAGCTGACAGATTTCTTTAGAAGCTCCTACATCTCTCTAGAAGTCATGGACTCCTGCAGATGTCCTCTCCCATCAGGAGCAGGTACCCTGAAGTTCCTCAAAGAGTTCCCTGATGTTTCCAGAAGCAGTTCCCAGAAGTCCAAGAAGATCTCGAAGCAAAACACAGAAACTGTGTTCTTAGTGGTTGCCTCTGTGGAAGAATTGTTTGAAAGCAGGAACTGAGAGGAAAACTAGGGACTAACAGAAGTTTTGGCGTTACAAAAGCTTGCTTGGGATGATACACAGTTGCCACTTCCAGGATGGTTGGTAGGCACGGACTCTGCTCCTCCATGGTTCCCTAGGCAGCACAATCATCTGCCATCCTAGCAGTTGCAAAGGGCAGTAACGGAGGATGGAGCGAAGACACCGCGGCCAAACTCTGTTGCACTCCCTGTGCTGGGCCGCTGATAAGCCGCACAGTAGCTGTCCAATGGGAGATATACGATAACATGTCCAGTCCTGAGCCAGCAAAGGTGGCAAATCACTCCTTTCACATGAACTTTGCTTGAACTTTGCTCATTATAATGTCAAAACACACCTCCATCCTAAAAGTGGGTCCAAGGTGCGACCACTCCTCCCTGAGCATGTGCTCTACATTTTGGATTGACTCTGCCTTTAAATGAAAGCGAGAAACTTTATCAGCAATCAATAACAATAGTAAGTGTGACTATAGTCACCCAAGCTCCACCTAAATGTAAGGAAAAAGGACAAAAGGTGAACTAAGGAGGAAAGAAGTGGGAGAGAAGATTTCATGGTAACTTCTGGGTCAGTTGACCGGGTGAACCGCCTTCCTGCTCAGTCAGGATGCTGCCTGAGGACACTCGGAAGTTGGCAGGAAGATTCCATTGTAACTTCTGGGATCAAAAACCCCACGCTCTAGTAGAGAATTTCCTGTACTGACATTCGAAACCTGCTTTGTAAATGTTGCATTTGAATAAATCATACTCTTTGTGAACTCAACTACTTGTTTGGAGGGAGGCGATCGGACTTACACTTGACAGACTGTTCGTGAATCCGATACTGCCAGAGTCGAGCTTATAGTTGATCACACTATTTGGGAACTTGATTCGCTCCTAGGAAGGCGATCAGACCTACAGTCCACAGACTGTTTGAATCCGATATTGATTTGATATCCCCTTCCCCCCCCGCCACCACCACTACCACTACAGCTTTCAAGCTGCAACATTTCACAGCCTCTGTTCATTGCACTCGACCTTTCTAGATATGAACTAACATTTCCTTCAGAGCTGCCATGAACTATGCTGCTTTATCCCTGCACATGAAATGTGAAATAACAGGGATCAGTTACTGGGATCAACAAGGATCAATTGACTATGGCCCCAGAAAATGTGGAAGAGGTCTCCACCAAACTCAAGCACAGAAGATCTGTGCTGGTGAGAGAAGTCTGAGCAACTGGGTAAACTGGAGTGGACCACTCTAAGATACAAGTCCTTACGAAAAGTCTTTGGACTTAATGGAGGAAAATGGGTCTGAAACAAAAAGGACCAACACAGGATTGCAGCAAAAGAGGTCATGGCTTGGTGGAGACGCGCAAAGGTGTCTCTGGCTATTAGATTCCACATTCTTATGGAGACTCAAATCAAGTATTAAATATCTCAAATCGTATCCATTCAACTTTAATCTCTCTCTGCTCTGTTCCTCTATTGCAAATGAGAACAATAATATACTCCTCAAGAGCAGTGCTGCGAAAATAAAATTATCAACATTCATGAAACATTCATCTACTCGTAGCAAGGCTTAGAAATGCAGAATAAATGAGACATGAGATCACACACTAAATAACGAGAGGAAAATCAAACTATCAAACAGCTATGCATTAGGCGAGTGCTATACATTGAATAAACCAGTGTCCCATAGAAAAACTGGGGGGGTTGACCAGGCAATTATGCATATGCGAACAAAGCACCATGGAACTGTGCTGCACAGAAAAGGAGCCAAATTAAGTTTTCATGAACTTGTAGTGCCACAATGGTATTTGTTCATGAACATAGTCCATGTTCAAGAAATGTGTGTACGTGGGTGTACACCTATACATACATGCATGTGCATGTGGTACATAATAATGCTAACACCCTCATAAATCCAACATCTGGCTGTAATGAAACTGGAGGGCCTATATGAAGAGCCATATGAAAACATGCAGCTGTAACCTGTTGACCTCTATTGATTAAAAAAAAAAAAGAAAAGAAAAAAAAGTCTCTTGAAGCTGGGCTTCAACATATCAAGGGACAGCCATTCATTTTTCAAAGGTAATCCCTCACAAACCGCTTATCCTCTCAAATCTCTACCTGCACACAATGTTTGCATTAGGGACCTTGATTTATGGATTCCCACTCCTTGGATGGAGAGGCTGACTTCCTGTTGCCGTGGTTACTTGGATCTTGGTTCAAGGTTAAACTACTCCCAAATCAAAATCAGTGGCAGGCACAGCATCTAACAGCCAGGTTATTGACTACCCTAGGATGCTTAAAGGTCAAAGACCAAAGTGCTGCTTACTGCCTTTGGGTGAGTCAATATTTTCAATATTTTTATTCTGTTTCTTCTGAAGAAGCAGTTGCTGCTCAATTACCACCTATCTGGGTTTAGCAAGGTCATACAAATCATCAAGGAAAACCCTCCTCCTACAGATGAGATACAAATGCAATGGGCTACTTCAAAGCCTCTATGGTCCAGCAGCAGCTCATCAACGGTGAATGATGCCTTTGCTCGGCTGCATTTTGTCCCCTATACTTCATTTCTCCATGCTGCATCACTCACCTCACTGCAACTCTCATCTGAGCTGAAGAAAGCGAGTAATTAACTGCTCTGCAGCTGCTAATGAGCATGAACCATCAGATTTTT